TTTTGTCTAATTTCTGCAAATAAAAATTATTACTATTAAATAAACAAAATGCGTTAAACTTAAACAATAATTAATTTTGAGAAATTAAATTTGAGTATTATTAAAAAAAATTCCAAATAGAGGATTTAAAGTAATAATTTTTAATTAAAATTAATAAAAAAATAATTGTATAATATTATATTTATGTAATATATAAATTGTGACCTAAATATTTTTAATTCAAATAATTGATGAAAATAAAATAATTAAATCAAATTAAATTAATGATCACTTTTTATTAAAAGAAAATTAAATTTTAATAGAGTTAAAATTATACTATATTAAAATACTACATATATATATATATATATATATATATATAAAATACTACATATATATATATACTATATATAAGTACCTAATATATTTTCTACATTTTTAACAATTAGTTTTTAGAAAAAGTACATTTAGAAGTATCATACAAATATAAAATGAATATTTTCTTATTCAGACTGATAATATGATTTAAGGCCAATAATTAATAATTATATCAAGAATATTTTTAATATTTAATAATTATTTTAGATTTAGTAAAATAGAAGGAAAACAGGACTGAAAAGTGAATTTATTACCTATCTTAATTTAATATTTCATTATCTATTTGTATTAAAAATTATACATAAAAATTATTTATCTGTAATATAAATTTCATTATTATATTACTTACAATAATAGTTATAAACAAACAAGCAAACAAGCTTTGAATTAAATTTCCATTCGGCCAAAATAACACAGAATAAGCTAAATTTCAAGAGAAAATAACATTATTCAATGATAAAAAATCTATTTTACTTTGGTCTTTATATTTTTCTTAATAATTATTTGCGAATATATTTTTGAAATTTATTTACGTAATATTTTGACAGCACAAATTAAATTAAATTCATTAAATTAAAAAGAAATATAAAAGAAAAAATATTTTTTAACCTACAAAATTTTCTAATACATTCATTAAGGTTCATGAATTTACAAAAATTTTCGAATTATAAAATTGCTGCTTATCGACGATTTATATAATCAATTTTGTCACTTTTTGATTTTAATTTCACTTATTCCTTCACTTTTTGAACTCCGCCGGTATTTATTTAGGAAGATTGCTTTGTTTACTTTTCATCGAAAATACTAGTGTCACGATTCTCCAGATTATAGAAAAATATTCCAAATAATTTCGAAGTTGCTTCAGGATTACAGGAAACGAAAAAAAACTTATATAATTAATTATAATCAATATTATAAAAAAAATCAATTCATCCAATCTTGGAAAATTCGTGCAACTTACAGAGACAAGTAAAATTGCTATAAATAAATTTTAAAAATTTATAGACATAATAAAATTTAAAAATTAAATTTGTGTTTTTGCAACGTCACAAAATTAATATTAAACAATTAAAGAGGAAGACGAGGTACGCATGATTATGTTCTAAAAATAATTAGTCAGAATTTTCATTTTATCGAATTTCATTTGTCATAATTAGTTTTGAGCCGAATTTTTATTTGTTTGAATTAGTAATTTGCATCATTTTCATCAAACCGATTTTTCATACTACAGAATTTTTACTTAACCGAAAAATCATTTAACAGAATTTCTAATTGATAGAATTTTCATTTGTCCGAAATTGTAAATGGCAGAATAAACAATCGACAGAAAGATTTGAGCGCGATTTTTAAAATTAACCAATCACAATTTTATGGATAATTTTTTATTAGTGGATTTTAAAAATCGCGCCGAAATCTTTCTGTCGATTGTTTGTTCGGACAAATGAAAATTCTATCAATTAGAAATTCTGTTAAATAATTTTTCGGTTAAGTAAAAATTCTGTAGTATGAAAAATCGGTTTGATGAAAATGATGCAAATTACTAATTCAAACAAATAAAAATTCGGCTCAAAACAAATTATGACAAATGAAAATCGATAAAATGAAAATTCTAACTAATGATTTTTAGAACATAATCATGCGTCCCGAAGACGAAATTAATTTTAAGTTCTATTGTAATATTTAAATTTAATAAAAATATACATCGATTTTTTGTTATTGTCTTGTACTTTTCTGATGTATCATGAGTTAAATTCGCTTATTTTCTAGAAGTTAAATTTGTGCCTTGTTTCTAACTTTCGATTTTCAAGCTTCTTGTGTTACTGATATTCTATAATAGTTTCATTATACTGGACTATAGAAATATTTGCGAGATATTGTTTTATCAATAGATTAAAATAAAAAATTACTTTTTTTATGTTCCTGTTGAAGAGTATATATATGTATACATTAAAATATGTTCTTTTTAAATAGTCTCTGAGAGGCAACATTTTTAGAGTTCACATCATCACCGTTATGGGTGGAACCAGACGGAACCACGCTTCCTGCACAAGATTCTCCCTCCTCTGTAAATTGAACTTTGTCGAAATTATAACTCAGCACTTACAAGTGTATATGCTGTAAATATAAATCACATTTAGAACTGTTTATAGCTTCCCCCTCAACCTTAAATATTAATGTAATACAAGTTTTTTAGCAATAGAAAAATTTTTTTTGATAATTTTTCGTTTATGTACGACTTCTACTTTTTGGGTTCTTTTGTAAGAATCACTTTCATTGTTTAAAATTTTCGCTATCTTCCTTTTTTGTTTTTTTAAAAACCAGATTCAAATAACAATTTATTTATAATAAAAATTATATATTTAATTCTTCCATATGTATATATATTGAATTATTTTAAATCGATTTTTGGACGACAGGTGAATAAAACACATTCACATATGTAATGACAACGTTTCGGAGGCACAGTTCGCCACCATCCTCAGGTCACTTACAATAATCATGTTCGTGATTTATAATTTAAATTTTTACAATTTTTTATTTAATTTTTACTCCTTTGATGAAATGTTGGTGCAATTTCTTTTAATTTTGTAGATATTATTTTTTAAAAAGAAAAATGAATTTTTTTTTGAATTTTTTGGTTTATTCCGTATGTATTGAATTTGTTTAGATTGTAATATAGTGACCTGAGGATGGTGGCGAACTGTGCCTCCGAAACGTTGTCATTACATATGTGAATGTGTTTTATTCACCTGTCTTCCAAAAATCGATTTAAAATAATACAATAAACAATTTATTTATTTATTGAACACTTGACAAATAATTGTTTGATGACTTTATAATTGCATGAAAATTTTATTTAGGCAGAAAATAAACAAATTGGATTTTACCATAAAAAATTAATTTAAATATTTAACATCATTTATCGGTAATTTCTTGTAAAAATATTTTTTATAAATATTTAATGTTAATGCAGGAATTAAAGATTATATTATATTAATATACGACATAGAAAGTTGTTATAATTTTTTTAGAATTTTCACAAAATATAATAGTATAAATTTATAGAAAAACAGTATATATTTAAAAAATTGTACATTCCTTTTTTTTATTTTTTCTTCTCGCATAATAGTATTATGTTTATTCAGCACTATTGAATAAAAAAATATAATGTTCATTTTTGTAATTCTGTTTATATTGCTAAAAAATAAATAAAATGAATAATAATACAAATACAAACTAACAAAACTAGGTTAAAGAAAATTTTTCATTTCTACATTTATTTGGATGCGATGTTTAATGAGAACAACTGTATTATTTTGTAATTAGCAATTAAATAATACATTATTTAAAAAAAATTAAAAATAAATATTTTTAAAATATCACAACAAATCTACAAAAATGAAAACATATTTTTTTACTCATTTAAATTAAACAATTGTAAAATTGGAAATTTTGATTTTACAATTGCTTTAATTGACTATATAAAATATAGACTTGAAGTTTTAATTTAAAAAATGCAACAAAATTATCCTTATTCTTTTTCAAGTAATTGTTAAATGAAAAATTCCTTACCAAAAATTTCAACTACCAATTTCTTCAAAAATACACTGCCGCTCAGTAGATTTTGCCCACCCTACAGAATTTTGGGCGTTGCAAAAAGTTTTATATTTTTGTTTCTAATAAAGATAAAATAATAAACAATGACTTTTTTAAAGCTTATATCCTTTACTTTTAGAATATCTAAAAATTTAATAAAAAAAAATTTTTTTCATTGCTTAATTGCTATTATTAATTAACAAAATTTTCCATTTTTTTTGTAAATTTTAAACTGATATATTTTTTCTCCTTATCTAAAAATTATTAGTGCAAAGATTGAGGATAAAAGAATTGCGAAGTTTATAGAAAAACATGTTTCATTTGGAAATTTTCTGCATATTTGTCAACAGCACATTGTTAAATATAAAAATATTAGTTGCACAATGCAAACTAATGAGGCGGAAACATTTATTGAAAACACACGAGACGAAAATGGAATACCACAACTTAAAGTAGTCAAAGAACCTCTTCTTCACGGACTAGAAATCATGTACCTGGAAACTAATTCACCTTATTCATTAAGATTTGTATACATTTTTCGACGAGCAACACAAGCAGGACTGGTAGAAAAATTGTTTAAGGATATTTTACTTAAAACGAAAAATTCGGAGATGCATTATTATGCTTTAGAGGAAATTGCTCCACTAGCAAAAAAGAAAATTATGTTTTTGCTTCTTGGAATAAGTGTTTTGGGATTTTCACTTTCATTTCTTGTATTTGTTTTAGAAAGTTTGGTTTTTAAAATTAGTAATTTATGCAAAAAAACATAAATGAATTGTTGTTCATTGACGAAAGTTTCGAATTGATTTGGGGTTTTCGGGGTTGTTGATTAGGATTCTGAAGTTATATTTAAAAAATTCAAAATTTAGATAAATGTTTTCGAAATCTTTGATTTTGTTTAATATTAGTACATTTCTCCTTAAGTGTCCTAATATTTATCTCGCTACAGATGAATTGGTGTTATTATAAAACAAAAACAACTTTCTTGACGTCTGTTATTGCAGATGTGAAGCATAAAGAATTTTCCTCCACCCAATTTTTAATTTATTTTCGTCTCAATTTCACTGTATATAAACCTAAGTCTCAAAGACTATTGGTATCAGTTAAAAAATGAAATTCACATTGTTAGCAGTTTTAGCTCTTTTGAGCACATTCATGATGACAGGAGTCGTTGCCGATTCTTGCCGAAAAGAAGGACAGAGTTGCAGTCGAAACAGGCAGTGCTGTAGCAATAATTGCAATCAAAGTAAGAACATTACATTTACTATATAACAAGTCTAAATAATTTCTGAATTGATTATAGTTAATTTATTGGGTTATTTATTTATTTTACAAATTTTTTAAATTAGAGACATTTTATATTTTTCTTTATTGGCACTCGTATAGTTGCTAGTTTACAAAATTCAAAACATGAAAAATCTACGTTTTAACTACCCTGTGGGCAAACAACCATGTTCGTTCTAAAAACCTTTTAAGAATGTTTTTAGAACGTTTCATGTCTGCCAAATAATGTTCAAAAACATTATTTGAACATCCATGTTCTTAAAATGTTCCAGAACATTATTTGGCGGACATGAAACGTTCTAAGAACGTCCTTAAAACGTTTTTAGAACGAACATGGTTATTGCCGACAGGGTAATTTTTAATTGATGTTCATCAATAAGCAAAATAAATTAATTGAATTGTTTTTATTTGCAGAAAGAGGAGTGTGCAAGTAAACATCATCACGAGATGATAATATTTTAAGATGTTAATGGTATATAGATCGTCGCAAGTTTCAAATGACTAAACTCTACACTACTAATGAATGTTCAACATCCAAAACCGCTGACAATTTTTTTTGTTGCCAAAAAATTGTTAATAAATCAACTCTGTATTAATTTTTTTTAATAACTGTTATAATATCTTACATGTACACTAAAGAAAATAAATATTCCTTTACGCATTAATGTATCTATTATTTAATTTTACAAAACATTAGGTAAGCTTTATAATATAAATAAATTTTATAATGTCTCCTGTAATAGCAAGAAGGATGGGGCTTAATAATACATTGGTCTTTGTATCCCTTATTTCCCGCTTTTCCTACGTTTCCACATCTCAATCGTGCCCACTGTTCTTTTTCTTTAGATTTTAGCTCCTTATTCTCCCAATATTCTTCTTTCCCCGCTGAACTTTTCCAATTTTTGTGATTTCCACAGTATTTGGATTGATCAATTCCGTTCCAATCCAGTTGTAGAAGCTGTTCAATTCTAGTTATTACACCCTTTGAAAAATTTTCTCCAACATTCTTACTGATATTCTTTGCGTTGATTCCCTCCCAAATTATATTAATCGTTTCCTCATCCCCTATTAGTTTTAATGCTTTTTGAAGCATTTTTAAAACTTCTATTAGGTACCTAGCTGCTCTCATTCTCTCTTCTATCTCAATACACTGTTTTCCCGACTCCATCCTCTAAATGTAACCCGGTGTAGTGCAGTCAAATCCCATTGCCATTTTAACTAGTCTCCCTTGCATTTTTCTAGCTCTTCTTTCCTTAACCATCCCCAGATTTCCACTCCGTACATCCCCGATATTTTGGCTAAAGTATCCATTATATAAAACCGCTTCTTTAGTTCACTTAATCCTGCCTTCTGTGCTTTCCCAGCCATTTTTAAAACACGTGTTCTGTAATTCCCTCTAGTTGAGAACCAGAGTCTTAAATATTTAAATTTTTCTACAACTCCTACATTTTGTCCCTCTATTTCCCAGTGTTCATCTTTTCTCTCTTTCCCCCCCTTTCTAAAGACCATTATTTTTGTTTTTCCCACGTTAATTTCTAATTTGTTTTTTTTAACATATTTTTTTAGGATTTTAATCATTTCTGGTAGTCCCTCTATGGTGTCCGATACAAGCGATAAGTCATCTGCGAATTTGAGACCAAAAATTTTGGTCTTTCCAATTACAGTTCCGCCTATATTCTTATTTTCCCATTCTTCATCCATATCATTGATAAAAACGTTAAAAAGTGTAGGGCTAAGAGGACAGCCCTGTCTAACACCTCTTACCGTGATGAAGCTCTCAGATCTACCTTCTGTTGTTATTACCTCGTTTACCGTTTTACTGTAAAGTCTCTTAATCATTTGTAACATTCTCCCTTTTACTCCAATTTTCTCCAATCTTTGCACTAACAACAGGAACCACAAGTGACGGAATCCAAGGGAGTTTTAAAGTGTTTTTGGTTTAAGTTATCCGTAATTTAACTTTATTAATAATTTAGTTGATTCAGATTTGTGTTGGATTTTTTTGTTTGTTCGGTGGTGGGTTGTTTTATTACTATTTTTCAGACTGTTACCTGAAGAAAAAGCCACAACGGTCACAACTGGACTTTCTACCTGAAGGGATTGAGGAAAAGGAGATCCCACAAGCTGGAAAGGCACGAGGAAAAATTGGGGTTTTTCCAGTTCGGGACTACCTGAATTTTGGGACGTGTAGAAGTGGGGTTCCCAGTATGGGACGCTTCAAAGAATACGTCACCGACGCACTCACTTTAATTTCGGCTGTGGCGGAGTGGAGTTCTCGGAGCGAGACGCTACAACATGTCGTTAAAGTTAGTCGAAACTTGTGTTCCGCGCCTTTTGTCTTCGATATTGAAATTGTGTTCCGTGTTCTTGTTCCACAAAAATAAATAATTATTAACATTTCTGACTTCGACTTTTATTTTTTCCTTTGTCCGAAAACGGGAACCAATCCGGGTAACTAACAAATTCAGTACAAAAACGTGATCTCTAGTAGATCTTTTCCTTCGAAATCCATCTTGACTCTCCTTTATTATTTTTTTCTTTTCTAGCCATGATCCCAATCTTTCGTCCATAATAGCTGCCAAAATTTTATATCCTACGTCTAATAAAGAAATCCCTCGATAATTTCCTGTATCTTCTTCATCCTCCCCTTTATGTATTGGAAAAATTGTAGCCTTTTCCCATCCATCCCCCATTTTTCCTTCTGTCCAAAAGCCATTTATAATTTTATGCATTTCTATTGCCCATTCTATTGTAAGTTTTTTATAAACTCCGCTGACAATCCATCTTCCCCAGCTGCTTTGCCTTTTTTCATCTTCATGATAATTTTTCCTAATTCTTCGAAAGTAATATCGCTGTTCCAAGTTTCTGTCATCCTCATCTTCTAAATTATTTCCCATTATTTCATCTCTGTTCCTATTTCTTTCTATGTCATTTGTTTCTGCTGCTACTCCCAAGAGATTTTCAAAATGAGATTTCCATGTTTAGAAAGTTGTTATAATATATTTATATAATGTATATATTTTCAAACTTTTACATTCCCTTTTTTATTTTTTCTATTCGCATAATAGTAATAGTTTATTCAGAACTATTGAGAAAGAAAGTATAATATTTATTTTTGTAAGTCTGTTTGTATTGCTAAAAAATAAAATAAATAATAATACAAATACAAACTAAGAAAACAAGGTTAAAGAAAATTTTTCATTCCTACATTCATTTGGATGCGATGTTCAATGTGAACAAGTGTATTATTTTGTAATTAGCAGTTAATTAATACATTATTTAAAAAATAAAATTTTAAATATCACAACAAATCTACAAAAATACATATATTTTTACTCATTTAAATTAAACAATTCTAAAATTGAAAAGTTTGAGTTCACAATAATTGGTTTAGTTGACTAATATAAAATATAGACTTAAAGCTTTAATAAATTATCCCTACTCGTTTTCAAGTAATTGTTAAATGAAAAATTCCTTACCAAAAACTTCAACCACCAATTTCTTCAAAAATAAATCATCAACAAAATGAAATTATACCTAATATTCATAATAAGTTTATTTTATTTACATCATTGTGCTGATGGTAAAAAAGAATCAAATCTGCCACAATGTTTGAGAAAATTGAAGACATATTTTACTACAGAATTAAAGGTACATCAACTAATGCTCATAACTGAAAATAACACAGAAATCAATAACGAAAGAATATTATCGGTCTTGATAGAAAGCACACCTGTTTTGCAAATAAATTTACAAAATGCTAATCGAGAGGAACAGAAAAATTCAAAAATATTTCAAATCATTAAAGATCCTGAAACAACGACATTGTTCGTAATAGCTATTTATGTAGATGATCCAACAGCTGTAAGAAAACTAACTAGTCCAATCGATTTCATAAGCTCAGCATCATATTCTAAAGGTCATCCAAAATGCTTATTCCTTTTTTATTCGAAGCAAAGAAAATTGAGATTTGAACAATTCCTTCTAAGCATGTGGAATAAGAGATTTCTTGATGTAACCATTTTGCATATTGCAACAGTAACTAAAAACGGATTTTTAGAAAATACAGTTTTGATAACACTCAATCAATTTAATCCTTATTTCCAAAAATTTTCAATGAAACTTTGTTCCTCTCGCATTCAATTATTTCCGTATAAATTACATAATTTAAATGGATACAAAATAAAATTTGGTACATTCAATCTACCTCCGTCATCTTTTGTAAAAATGAATTCAACAGGTTTTCCGATAGAAATGAAAGGAAAGCTTTCATCATTTGCTAAACTTTTATCGCATGTGATGCACTTTGAATTGAAATTTGATAAGTCACCTGTAAAAACATATGGAAAGTTTGACTGTCATAACAAAAGTCTTACAACTGGCTATAATTACAAAATGCTAAATAATGAGATTCAATTTATTGAAGTCAGCTCAATGTTATTTTCAAATTGTCTTAATGGATATGTAATTTTGAATAGGCAAGATTACAATGTTCTCGTCCCTATTATAATGAGTAATGATAATGAAATTCAAGGAAAATCATTGCTTATTATGACATTCACAATGTGTACATTAGGCTTGATATCAATTTGGATTCTTATTAGAATTTTGAAATTTGATCTTTGCTATTGGAAACTGATGTATATAATCCAAATTGGCCTTCAATTCTGCGCTCCTAAGGTACCTGAGAAAACAATCGAGAGATTGATTTTTTGCTATCTGTTTTTCATAAGTATTGGATTTTCCTCAAATTTTTTTGGAGCGTTGACAAGTTTAAAACTCACCAAGGAAGAAGAAATAAGATTTGATACAATTAAGGACGTGGATGAATCTAATTTACAACCGATTGGTCACACAATTATGAAACGTAATGGTACATTTTTTGTGGATGAAAGAATTAAAAAGTTTGTCGAGAAACACATTTTAGATAAAGATTATTTTGATATTTGTCTACATCACATTATTAAATATAAAAATATTAGTTGTACAATGAAAGATAATGAGGCGCAAATGTTGATTGAAAATACAAGATATAAGAATGGAAAACCACAAATTAAATTAGTGTTAGAACCTTTGTTTGAAGGAGTCGAAGTTATGCTGCTTGAGACTAATTCACCATATTGTCTAAAATTTGGAGACATTTTTGGACGAGCAACACAAGCTGGACTAGTAGAAAAGTGGACGCAGGAGACATTACGTGAATCTAAAAATCAGAACATGAATCATGCCTCAGAAGAAGTTACTGAAATAGAAGTAAAGAAAATTCTTTTACTACTGTTTGGAGTAAGTTCGTTAGGATTTTCACTATCTGTTATTGTATTTGTTTCTGAAATTTTAATTTTTAAAATGTATTCATGTTAAACATAAATATCTTGTTGTTTGTATGCAGAAATTGACTTATGTTTTTTTACATAAGGGTCATTCCAGTGAAATTCAACTAGAGCCGGTTGCTCGATAATTTCCAAAATCACTGGAATTAAAATATAATGTTATTGAATACAATTTAATTCCTTTTTGGAGATTTTTATAATCGAAAGTGTTTTACTTTTTTTTAAATAATTTTTTTAAATATGTAACAAGTTACGCTGCCAAACATAACCGATTTTACAACAACTCACTAAAAATTATTGTAAAATGAAAAAAATTAATTTCTTTTTATTATTTT